CCAGTAGTGGAGCGCGCACTTAACCGCTAAGCCATGGGGGCGGCCCTACATGATATTTTTAAAATCTTTCTTTACCATATTATCCTCAAAACCACCCTCTGTAATGGCAAATAACATTTCATGAAGTGGAGGCCCCAGACTTTATTCTGAGGGAGGGCATCTAGATTGCTCCCAATTTTCCACCTTTATAAACAATACTGTAATGAACATCTTTGGGCAGACAGCTTTTCCTAAATGAATTTTTCATCAGTAGGGCTTAGGGTCCCCCCCACCCCGACAAAGCCCCAGTAGATAGTTGTATGTTATAGTTGCACATCCTGCCAGTTGCTGTATGTGGGACGCAGCCTCAGCATGGCTGGAGAAGCAGTGTGTCGGTGCGTGCCCGGGATCCGAACTCAGGCCGCCAGTAGTGGAGCGCACGCACTTAACCGCTAAGCCACAGGGCTGGCCCATAGGGTTTTTAATATTTTAGGTTTTTACCCAGATTGCCAGATTGCTTTCCAAAAGGACTGTATTATTTACAATGCCATCAGTGGCGATGTATGTTAGTACAGTTTCACCTCATCCTTGCCAGCACTGTGTATTATCCTTTTTTCAAAATTTTGGCTTATTTAGTAGTTATCAAAGCTATTCAGGTTCTAGCTGAATCTCAGTGATGACAGCTCTGTCAGCCTCCTCGCCCTTCCTTGTGCCCTGTCATATTCCATGTCTGTCTCACACCTCTTCTCCCTCCACCCCACAGCTCATCATCTTGGCCAATGGAGGACCCCAGGTCCTCGTGCAGATCATGCGCAACTATAGTTACGAGAAGCTGCTCTGGACCACAAGCCGTGTGCTCAAGGTGCTGTCTGTGTGTCCCAGCAACAAGCCCGCCATCGTGGAGGCTGGTGAGTATTATGGCCTGTGAGGGTGGCCCACGTGGCTGGGAGGGCTGGGGTGGGGGCCCTGTCTAGTGGCCAGGCTCCATTAACCGTGCTCCCCCGTGGCTCACGTGACCCCTGTCCCCTGCCCTAGGTGGAATGCAGGCCCTGGGCAAACACCTGACGAGCAACAGCCCCCGCCTGGTGCAGAACTGCCTCTGGACCCTGCGCAACCTCTCCGATGTGGCCACCAAGCAGGTGAGGGAGCCGCTCCGGCCGGGACTAACCTCTTCAGCTGCCTCATACTCCCATCTTAGCACGTCCAGCCTCCTGTCTGGGAGTCTGACCTTAGGAGCCATGGAAGGCCTGAGGCCTCTAAATCTCGCCCCATCGTGGCTGAGGCTGGAAGTACCCGGAAGACCCTCATCCCTTTAGTTTAAGGCTCTAATTCCTATTAGGGATTCGGGAAGAGGAGTAGATGAAGGGGTGATGTTGCTGAGCTGGAGTTCAGGTGGTACCAGGGGAACAGTTTGGACCTAGACCCTGGAGCAAAGAGTAGTCGTGTGCCAAGAGACAGCTGGGGGCCCCGTGATTAAAAAACACAATTTAAGGAAAAATGCAGTTTCAGGACAAGCCTCATGGTCCCTCCTTCCAACCTGACTACCATACCTAAGAGCCCCCCCATCGATAGACTGCTCACTAAGCATCCACCACGTGCTAGACTCTGCCGGGCACTCGTGGACATTGGCTCCTCTACCCCTTTCAACACCTGGAGGTAGAGTGTGGGGCCTCGTTGGTTAGATGAAGAAACGGGGGCTCAGGGAGTTAAGTAATAGCCCTTGGTCACAGCTAGTAAATGGCAGAGCTGGGATTTGAATCCAGGACTGTCAACCCCAGAGCCTGAAGTCTTTCTGTTCCACCATAAGGCCCACGTGGCTCCCCCTGGGAGAAGTGAGGCTTCTGGATTAGGGGTGTTTCCTGAAAGTGGATTTGGCCTGGGGACCACTGAGGGGGCAGCAGTGAAGGCCCAGAACAGTGAGAAATGCATAAAAGTGGGTCAGCTGGGCCGCAGAAGCACGTGGCCTCCTCCACAATTTTCTCCTGGTCTAGGGGCCTCCCTCAGCCTGAGTAGGGCTCTGCCTGGGTCTGAGGATGCAGAGGAGGGGCAGGAGGGGTGGAGGAAAGAGCATGGAGCTTAGAGACAGGCCTGGGTTCTGATCCGCCCACGAGATGTGGGTCTGTGGGCAAGCCCCTCAACCTCTCTGAGCCTCAGTTGCCCCATGGGATCGCACTGCCCTCTCCTGGGGCGTCGGCAGGATCACGGGGATGAGGGTTCCCAGGCACACACAGGCAGGCCCGTCGAGTATCAGCTGAGTGGGCTTCAGACCCCGTTAGGCCACCTGCTCCCCTCGGACATCCGGGGGAAGACTTCCTGGAGTTGGGAGTCTCCCTCACTCTCCGCTGCCCCCCCTGCCGACCCCCAGGAGGGCCTGGAGAGCGTGCTGAAGATTCTGGTGAACCAGCTGAGTGTGGACGATGTCAACGTCCTCACCTGCGCCACGGGCACCCTGTCCAATCTGACGTGCAACAACAGCAAGAACAAGACGCTGGTGACGCAGAACAGTGGCGTGGAGGCCCTCATCCACGCCATCCTGCGCGCCGGAGACAAGGACGACATCACGGAGCCGGCTGTCTGCGCCCTGCGCCACCTCACCAGCCGCCACCCTGAGGCCGAGATGGCCCAGAACTCCGTGCGCCTCAACTACGGCATCCCGGCCATTGTTAAGCTGCTCAACCAGCCCAACCAGTGGCCCCTGGTCAAGGTACCGAGTGCCCGCGGTGGGGTTAGGGGCGGGAGGGAGCCTCTGCAGTCAGGGTTACGTGCTGTGTCAGCACAGGGTAGGCAAAGCTGCTGTAACAGAGGTCCTGGAATACAGTGGCTCCAGGAAGATAGAAGTTTATTCCTCTCATGTAACGGTTTAGACCTCCACAGTGGCTCTGCTCCTGAGACCCAGAATCCTTCTATCTTGTAGCTCCGCCATCCCTGACAGAAGAGCTTCAAAGTTTAATACGCACATGACCGCCCCGGGCGGTGTCATTGAACTGCAGGTTCTGATTCAGTAGGCCTGGGGTAGGCCCGAGACTCTGCATTTCTAACAAGTTCCCCGGTGCTGCTGCTGGTCCGTGGAGCATCCTTCTTATGCCAGAGGGTCTGGATGAGAGGGTTGTCCTCACACAAACGGTTGGACTGTATCATCCCTGCAGATGTTCTAGCCCCAGAGAAGTGGGGAGGGCTTGCAGTGACCAGTAAGCGAGACATGTCGCTTCAGCTCACACCCCGGAGCTCAGTCGTTTGGCCACATCTAGATGCAGGGAGGCCGGCAGTGTGTCGTGTGTCCAATGGCCATGTGTCCTGCTAGAACTCAGGAGGGATACGAAAAAGACAAAGGAGAGAGGATTCTGGGGAACACTTAGTGTCTGCCGTAGGGAGTCGGGGGTGAAGGGGTGGAGCTTTCTCTTCAGGAGGCCGCCTGGGTAGAGGAGAGCCAGCAGGCAGGGGCTCCCATTGGCTAAATTTTAGACAATTTAACAGTACAGATAAGAATGACTCTAAGTGATTATATACATTGAATTAAAAAAAAATCCACAGTGAGGAAAAGAGACAGCACGGGGCTCCTCCTTGGGCATGGTCCCGGCTGCAAGCCCGAGGTGGCGGAGGGTTTGCGTCCTGACCCAGCAGCTAAGTGATAAGTGATAAGTGACCTTAGCAGGTCAGATATTCTAGCTCACAGCCTCATCTCTCTCATGATTTTCATCCCTGCCCTCCTGGCTTCTTGTTTTGACGATCAAATGAGATGATAAATTGCTTTGCAAGACCCTGAGGGACCCAGTGAGAACAGAATGGCTCCTGGGAGACAGGGCACCCTGTGGGGGAGACCTCTTCCCGGAGCTGCCCTACTGGGGATTGATTACAATATGAGCATCGCCAAAGCAGGAGGCCTTGGGGTCACCACAGCAAGGACTCCCCGATAGTCAGGGTTTGTGGACTATCAGAAAAGCAAGTAAGGGGCCGGCCCCGTAGTGTAGCGGTTAAGTGTGCGTGCTCCGCTGCTGGCGGCCCAGGTTCGGATCCTGGGCGCGCACCGATGCACTGCTTGTCAGGCCATGCTGTGGCAGCGTCCCATATAAAGTGGAGGAAGACAGGCATGGATGTTAGCTCAGGGCCAGTCTTCCTCAGCAAAAAGAGGAGGATTGACATAGATGTTAGCTCAGGGCTGATCTTCCTCACAAAAAAAAAGAAAAAAAAAGAAAAGCAAGTAAGACTGTGGTGTCTGGGGGTGGATTGAGAGAGGGGATGAGGTGAAAAGGTCAGAGCGTGGGGGCTGGTGGAATGTTCTGGAATGGTGTATCATGTTAGCAGAGGCTGTTAGAGTTAGACACGAGGACCCACAGATCCTATGGAATAAGGGACACAGGCTGGGAGTGGAATAATTCTCTGGAGATCTTCCAGCATTTGTGTGTCTGGCCTGGGGGACAGCCAGATGATAGGGGAAGGAGGAGATGATGCGGGGAAATTGGGATCCTCCAGAGGCCCAAGAAATGCCCCTGATTGTTGTCCGTTTTCTTGCCAGGCCACCATTGGCCTGATCAGGAATCTGGCCCTGTGCCCAGCCAACCACGCCCCCCTGCAGGAGGCAGCGGTCATCCCCCGCCTCGTCCAGCTGCTGGTCAAGGCCCACCAGGATGCCCAGCGCCATGTGGCTGCAGGCACACAGCAGCCCTACACAGTAAGTAAGCTGGTGGTGCCTGTGACCGCCCCCCCCGGGGGTCAGGGTGTCCTCTGTGTGAATGTGTCTGCTTGTGAGTGTGTAAATGGGGAGACGAGTTCCGATTGATGTCAACTCCAAGGACCAGCGAGGTTTGCCAGAGTGTCATGGGACGGTGTGGCCATGTCCAAGGGCCCCGTTGCCATGCCCCGATGCCTCCTCTTGCACAGGATGGCGTGAGGATGGAGGAGATCGTGGAGGGCTGCACTGGAGCCCTGCACATCCTCGCCCGGGACCCCATGAACCGCATGGAGATCTTCCGACTCAACACCATCCCTCTGTTTGTGCAGGTGAGTCTGGGCCAGGTGGGCAGGGGAGGTCCCCCCAACCCCTGCTTATCCCCACTGCTGAAAGGGATGATTGGCAGCCACGGGTCAGAGGGGCCTGGACCATGCATCAAGAGATCGTTGGAGGAGTTTGGAGAACAGTGCCCACACCAGGGGTGCCCACTTAGCAAACTCCTCATGGGAATGGCTTTCCAAGCTCAAAAGCAAGGGAAGAGATCACAAATGAAAAAAATAATCTTGAGATTCAACCACGTAAACATTAAAACCATCTGTATGCCAGAAACAGCCTAAAAAGCAGTAAGAAGTAAACAGCAAATTGGGAAAATATTTGTAAGCATCACAACACACAAGAGTTTAATATCCTTCATATAAAAAAGCTCATTAATACCAGACCCCAGTAGGTAATGGGCAGAGGCAGGAGTAATCCTCAGGTGGCTCCGAAACAAATAATGCTCAACCCCGGGAGTTTAAAGAAATGAAGCTTACCCTCCTTCAGTGAGAGCCCATTTTCCACTATTAAATTGGCAAAGAAAAAAAAAAAAACGAGAGTGCCCTGTGCTGGTGAAGATGCGATGAAATAGTCTCAAACCCCCCCTGCTGGGACAAAAAGATGGTAAAACCTCTTCAGGAGGCAGTTTTGCAATATGTATAGAGAACCTGTGACCAAGTAGCACAGCTCTGGGACTCTCTCCTTACGATATAACTTAATTTAAAATATAGGCAAAGGAGCCGGCCCGGTGGCGCAAGTGGTTAAGTGCGTGCGCTCCGCTGCGGCAGCCCGGGGTTCGCCGGTTTGGATCCCGGGCGTGCACCGATGCACTGCTTGGCAAGCCATGCTATGGCGGCATCCCATATAAAGTGGAGGAAGATGGGCATGGATGTTAGCCCAGGGCCAGTCTTCCTCAGCAAAAAAAAGCGGTGGATTGGCAGATGTTAGCACAGGGCTGATCTCCTCACACACACACTATATATATATATATACATATATATATATGCAAAGATTTATGCACACAGCTCACAATTGCAATGTTACTTATAATAATTGAAAACAGTCCTAGAGTTCAGGGTAAGGGATGTGCCATAGCCACCTCCAATTGTGATTGATGAGGTTTTTTTTGTTTTTGTTGCTGTTTGGCTTTTTAGCATTCTCTTTCGTTTTTATCAATATGACCTTATAGATTTTTAGGAAAGATTTTTTAACAGTATAGGAAAATGCTTTTGGCTACAATGTCAGGAGAAAAAAACAGGAATCAAAATTAAAATTGTACTATGATGGAAATCCAATGGGAATATGCCAGTGTGTTAACAGAAGCTGTGTCTGGGTGTGGCTGGTTTTCTTTTAGGTTCCTTTATACTTTTCTTAGACTTTCCACACTCTTGTGTGAGCTTGGGTTAAGTCTGGAAAAGAGAGACTGTGGTGATGGGCAGGGCTGTGAGGTGCGCTGTCGCCCGCCTCACGCCCCCTCCCCCACACTCCCCCCCCCCGGGCGCTGACCCCCCCCGCGCCCCCTCCCCCAGCTCCTGTACTCCTCGGTGGAGAACATCCAGCGCGTGGCCGCCGGGGTCCTGTGTGAGCTGGCCCAGGACAAGGAGGCAGCCGACGCCATTGATGCTGAGGGGGCCTCGGCCCCACTCATGGAGCTACTGCACTCCCACAACGAGGGCACTGGTGAGGGACTGGGCTGTGGGTGAGGGTGGCAAGGGAGGAGGCTGGGCCTCATTCCCCCAGCCCGGGTGGTGGTAGGCGCCTGATATGCCCTTTCATTTCCTCTCTGCTCAGCCACCTACGCGGCTGCCGTCTTATTCCGCATCTCCGAGGACAAGAACCCAGATTACCGTAAACGCGTGTCTGTGGAACTCACCAACTCCCTCTTCAAGCATGACCCTGCTGCCTGGGAGGCTGTGAGTACCCGGGTTGGACTGCAACATTTGGTTGTGCAAGTTGCGCACTGTACAAGGACTGCACTTTTAAGGGGCCTCCTACTATCCTGTCAACTTTATAGATTTTTATTTTGTAATTGAATCATTTATGACAATGTCCAGCAGATGCAAGTAGTAGACTGAGTAGTAGTATCTATTTTTGACCTACTAAAGTGGCCATTTAATTTTGTCCTAACTACTACAAAGTGTTTGAGGCCGGGGTGCCTTTTTCTAACTTGCACACAGGTGCTGTATAGTCCAGCGGCTGCCCTGACCCTGGGCAGGGCCGCTCCCAGCTCCCATTCTTGAGTCCTCTCCCCTCCACTCCCCTCCCAGGGCTGCTCTAGTTCTGTGGGTGTCCCCAAGCATGAATGGGGGGACCCTCCACCCTGGGGAGGTGCCTGAGGACAGGAGTTCATCAGGGCGCTGGGTAACCCCATCTTAACTTCGGTTCCTCCAAGGGGTCTTCCCTTTGCCCTGGCCCCCTTTATAGAAGCGGCTCTTGCTGCCGCCCAGCCCAGAGCTTGCGTTTCCCACCCTTACCCTCCCCAACGTCTCTCTCTGTCTCCTTCCTCAGGCCCAGAGCATGATCCCCATCAATGAACCCTATGCAGATGGTGAGTGTGTGCAGAGTCCTCAGGTCCTCGGAGAGCCTGGCGGGAGGGCTGTGCGTGTGAGCAAGGGAGAGGCGTTGTGTCCCCAGGGCCAAAGGACCAGTGGCAGCCACCCTATAGCACTCACGTGTACTCCAGGTCCCCTGACAAGGGAGTCTGGGGGGGAATCAGGCCCACTGGGGATGGGCAGAGGTAAGGGAGGTGGCTGAGAGGTCCAGACCCCCCGCAGGGTGGCCTGCAGACCTTGGACAGAGCCCTCTTCTCCTCCCCAGACATGGATGCCACCTACCGCCACATGTGCTCGAGTGACGGGCTCCTGGACCCCCTGGATATGCACATGGACATGGACAGGGACTGTCACCTCGACACCTACAGCGACGGCCTGCGGCCCCCCTACCCCACGGACCACATGCTGGCCTAGCTGCTCGGCCCCAGTACGGCGCCCTCCACTTTGCAGCCCTCCCTCCTGCCTGCCAGCTGCTGAGACATGCTTTCCCTCTCTCCTAGAACCTCCTTCTCATGGAGGCCTTCCCGTCCTTCTAGAACCTCCTTCTCACGGAGGCCCTCTCCTGTTGCCATTGAAACCCTGGCTCCTTTTCGGGGGGAATGAGTGTGGGGCCTCTTGCTGTTGAGTTCCCCCGAGGAAGGCGTGCCTTGGCTGCCTTATTCTGTTATCCTTCCTGGCCGTGGGGAGTCCTGCCCCTTCTGTGGGTAGCAAGTGGGTGACACGGGGTGGCACGAGCTCGTAGAGGACACTGGCCTGCCCTGACCCTACTGTGTCTGCCCCACCCCCCAGGTGCACTTCCTCGTCTGTGAGGCTCTTCATGCAGGCAATGGGGCGAGACACAACAGTGCCTGAGCTGGGGCAGCAGGGCCGCAACTTCTGCCCAACTCTGCGCCTCCAGAGGGCCTCTGTAGTCTTTCTTGGGATGGTGATCTGCTCCTGCTTTTCTGTTCTGGGCCGTGGGTCCAGGGCCTGACCCCCCGCCCCACCCCTGTGGCCCTGGCCACCAAAGCTTTAGACTCGAGCCACCCACTCTGTTGCCCCCTGCTGTCCCCCTTGGCTGCCCCGGGCCCCATGGGGCTATGGTTCCTGCTCCAGTAACTCCACCCAACCAACAGTCCTGAGCCCCCAGGGCCTCCAGGACCCAGGTTCAAGGCCCAAAGCTCCAGAATCCAAAGCTTCTCTTGAAAAGTTCAGGGACCTTCGGGGAGATGGGGTAGAGATGTGGAGAGTGAGTCACCTGCCTCTCTCTCTGGGACGCTGAATTGGCTTTGGTGCCCCCCCCACCCCGGGGGAGCTCCAGGCACAGCTCCCTCGCACCCCCACAACTGCCCTAGCTGACCCCTGAGAAGTGCTCTTGGCTGACCCCTCTGGTGTGCGGTGAGGGGCTCTCTCTTCCTCTTCCTGTTTCAAACTCCCCCACCACCTCCTGCACATGGGTGTAGGGGGCTGGGGGAGGTCCTGGCGGAGAGTTTTATTATCGCTTTATGTTTTTGGTTATTGGTTTTTTTGTATAGACCAAAGCAAAGAAAATAAAACTAACACACGGACCCAATGGAGGCTGTTTAGGGGAGTGGGGTGGGGGACCCCTTAGCAGCCTGGCGCCCTCCTCGGCCAGATCCTGCACATGCTCACGGCTGCCTTGCCTTGCGTGTGGGAAAGACGTGGAGAGGGGAGCTGGGCAGAAAGGAGCCTTTGAGGAGCTGGACTCGACTTAATTCCGTACACACTTGTAGGGCTCCAACTTGGAGCCTTAGGAGGTTAGGAGGGGCGAAGAGACGACTGGGGGTACGCCCCCCCTTCAGGGCCTCCAGGCCTTAATCGTCTCTCCAAGGGCCGCCTCCTTGCTGGCGTCTCCAGGCCTCCAGGCCTGCCCTGTCCCACCCCGGCCAGCCTGAATGCATGGCCAGCATTCGGCCAGCCTGAATGCATGTTTGGCGGATTTCTCCCGGGCTAATGCTCCCCATGGCCTGTGGCTTTGAGTCCAGACCCCCTATTGGTCTGCAGTGGGCCCGCCCCAGCCCCTGCCCCCCTCCCCTCTGTCCCCTCAGGCAGCATCCTCCGTGCTCTTCCTTGCCTCCTGGTCTTTGTCCCTGCTGTTCCCTCTGCCTGGAGTGCCTGCACCTGCTCGCCCACTGGGATCCCACTCAGACCTCACTCCAGGAACACCTCCTCCAGGACTCCCACCCCCTCCCAGCCAGGCTGAGCTGGCGCCCCTTCTCTGCTCCATAGTGCCCTGTGCATGGCTATCATTTCACCCATCATGTTGCTGACAGTCCCCCACTCACGTCCCCAAATTCTCCTTCCTGGCGAGAGCTCATCACAACACACCTGAAACGTGGCATCTGTGGGCCTGCTCTTGCCAGGCCCATTGTCTCATTTCTACACCTGCCTAGAGTTGGGCAGTGGAGGGAGGGCACGGCCTCGTTCATAGAGGATAGAGGGCACCAGGACAGCTGTGGTGTTGGGGGCAGGGCAGGGAGCCCAGTTAGGAGGTGGCTGGACAGTGCAGGCAAGAGGTGATGAGCTGACAGAGCTGTGGGAGGGGAGGGGACAGGGTGGAGTTTCCAGAGAGCAGAGTCTTAACAATGCCCGTCATTTGTACTCTGTGTTCAGGGCCTGTCTTAGTCTGCTCCAGCTGCTATAGCAAAATACCATAACCTGGTGGCTTAAACAACAGACATTTATTTCTCACAGCTCTGGAGCCTGGAAGTTCAAGATCAAGGTGCCAAGCAGATACAGGGTCTGGTGAGAGGCCATCTCTCAGCTTGTAGGTAGCTGCCAACTCATTGTGGGCTCAAGTGGCCTTTCCTCATGCGTGCTCACAGAGCGAGAGCCATCTCCCTCCCTTTTCTTAGGAGGGCACTAATCCCATCATGAGGGCCCCACCCTCATGACTTCATCCAAACCTAATTATGTCCCAAAGGCCCCACCTCCAAATATCATCATACTGGGGGCTAGGGCTTCAACATATGCATTTGGGGGGACACAGACTTTCAGCTTGTAACCGCTCTGGCAGAAAACATTCAAATTGTGTCATTTGAGGAGAATTTGGTAAAGGGACAATTTGCCAAGGTATGGGCAGGTATAGGAAACAGCAAAGGAGAGGACAGTACCTGGGCTAATTACAGTGGCCTCGGGAAGGGAGGGAGTGCTTATTGGGAACAGGACACTGGATGAGGCTCCTGACAAGGGGAGGCCCCTTCTGCCCCACAGAGCTGTGACCTCACTCCCCCCTCCTACCAGGGCTCCCTGTGGGCTGAACCCAACCAGAAACCAGAGGGCCCATCGATGTGGTTCATTCGTATCGTCTCCCGATGCCCAGAGCAGAGTGGAGAGACGATCTGGAAGGCCAAGGAAAGTTAACTGGGCATACTTCCCCGGCCCCCATCTTTCCAAAAGAGGACTCCAGGCAGCTTACAAGAAGGAATTGCTCTCAAGCCTCATAACAGGCAATGAGGACAAGGGCAAGGAAGAGGCCGGAGGCCCGGCCCGATGGCTTAGCGGTTGGGTGCGCGCGCTCAGCTGCTGGCGGCCCGCGTCCGGATCCTGGGTGCGCACTGACGCACCGCTTCTCCGGCCAAGCTGAGGCCGCATCCCACATACAGCAACTAGAAGGATGTGCAGCTATGACATACAACTATCTCCTGGGGCTTTGGGGGAAAAAAATAAAATAAATAAATAAGTAAAAAAGGAAGAGGCAGGAAAGCACCCATATTAGGGGTTAATACCAGTGATGATTAAACTTCACATTAGGCACTGAGCTACCTGGCAGCCTGGCCAAAAAGGGAACTTAAGTTAATCTCAAAGAAGTGAGTTGGCCCCCCTTTCAGTTTTCACGTAGGCACTATCTGAGCTCTGTAACCTTGATAAAGTCAGTTCACTTCTCTGAACCTCAATTTCCTCATCTGTAAAAGGGACAGTGCCTGTTCCGCCTGCCGAACACAAGGATGCAATGAGAAAACAGTGATTCCAGCAGGAAGAAGGGGAAAGGGCAGGAGGCTTTTTCCCAGAGAGGCTTTGCCTTTTTGTTTTCCAGAAGGGACATCCCCCAGGGACATTGGTTGGAAACTGTCACATGACCCTCCCTTGCTGCAGGGGCAGCTGGGGAATTGAGGACATTTTAGCTGCACACATTGCTCCTTTGATAAAAATCAGAGCTCCGATAGTAAGCATGAAAGGGGACACAGAAGACATGGGGTAGACACCAGATGTGTCTGCCGCGACTGGGAACGAGCGTGCCAGACCAACCTCTTCCTTTTGGGTAGCCTTGCTCGGAGGAGGCAGCAGAAGAGCTGAGTGTCTGGGTGTCAGCAAAGGAGCTGACCAGCAGGGGGAACGCAGGCTTAGGTGAGGTGGGCAGACCTGATGGAGCAGCCACACCAGGGACTAGGAAACCTGGCCCCGTCGTCTGGAGGAAGGTCCCTGCCACCCGCCATGGTCAACATCTCTACCTTGGTATCAGCAATACAAATGGAGACAGACCCCCCGCCACTCACAACAGCAGGCGCCACGCTGATGGCAAGGGAGTCACTTGCTAGATGGCAGAACCAAGGCCCCCCCCGAAACAGCAACAAGCCAGAATGAGGGGCAGAATCCAACAAGGTGGGGTTTCAATATCAAGTTATAAAAATAAGTCTTAAAAATGAGTTATTATCTGTGAACCTAAAACTACTCTTAAAAATAAAGTCTTGGGGCCGGCCCCGTGGCTTAGCGGTTAAGTGCGCGCACTCCGCTGCTGGCGGCCCGCGTTGGGACCCTGGGTGCGCACCGACGCATCGCTTCTGCGGCCATGCTGGGGCCATGGCCCACATGCAGCAACTAGAAGGATGTGCAGCTATGACATGCAGCTATCTACTGGGGCTTTGGGGGAAATAAATAAATAAATAAAATTATAAAAAAAATAAATAAAGTCTATCAATTAAAAAAAAAACCAAAAAGTTAACCAAAAATAAAAAATAACTTATTAAAGTAAACCTTACACTAAAAAATTTTAAAACATGTCTACATGACCTCATCCCCAAAGCATATAAGTTGGCTTAAAAGGTACAATCAATAAGATAAAATAACTAGGGAGGAAATAATTAGATGGAATCCTAAGTCCTATACTTTCACCTAAAAACGTCCACGCACGTATGGAAAATATGGGGAAAATCGTACACCCAGAACATGTGGGAAAGAGTTGAGAAATTTAGTTGACTCTCAAGTTCACAATGAATTACTAGAACAATGAAGCTATGGAAAACGACTCCGAATGCTGTGCTAGCCTGTACTGGTAGAAGGGTAACGTCTCGGGAGGGAAGTGATAGAATTCTGTATTGGCTGGATTCATGGGTCATTCATTCGTTCATTCATTCATTCATTCATTCACCAAATGCTTCCTGAGGGCCTGCTCTTTGCCAGGCTTTGTTCAAGGCACTGGGGATAGAGATGCCTAATATTCTTGTCTTCCAAGGGGAAAATGGACCATAAACCAACACTAGCTGGAGAGTGTGGAAGAAAGCATTGTGCTTGGGGTCTGGGCGCGTCCAGGGGAGCCAGAGGAGGGAGTGGGTGACATGACTGCTGGGCATTACAGAAGGCAGCGGCATTCCTGGCAGAGGGGCAGCAAAGACACCGAGATAGGAACCTGGGTGGAGAGTTTGGGAAATGACAGCAGGTTGGTGTCCCCAGCCCAGGAGAGGAGGGGGTGATACAGCAAGAAACAGGCTGGAAAACGAGGCCCAAGTCAGATGGCGCGGAGGGCCTTGTGCGTCGGGCCAAACTGTGTGAACCTGATCCTGAGTGAGATAGGGGTAGGGAGCACTGAAAG